TTTGTTTTGTTTTGTTTTGTTTTTGCAGTTTTTGGCGGGGCTGGGTTTGAACCTGCCACCTCCGGCATATGGGGCTTCCGCCCTACTCCTTTGAGCCACAGGCGCCGCCCCAAGAAGTTAATTAAAGACACAACTTCCTTCACTGTAGCCCCAAAGAAAATGAAATACTTAGGAATATACCTAACGAAAGAGGTAAAGGACCTCTATAAAGAAAATTATGAAACCTTAAGAAAGGAAGTAGCAGAGGACTTTAACAAATGGAAGAACATACCATGCTCAAGGCTGGAAAGAATTGACATTGTTAAAATGTCTATACTTCCTAGAGCAGTTTACCGATTCAACACCATCCCTATTAAAATACCAACATCCTATTTTCAAGACTTGGAAAAAATGATCCTGCGTTTTGTATGGAACCAGAAAAAAACCCATATAGCTAAGGCAGCTCTTAGTAATAAAAACAAAGCCGGGGGTATCACCGTACCGGATATTAGGCTGTACTACAAGGCCATAGTGGTCAAGACAGGATAGTACTGGCAAAAAAAGAGACATAGACAATTGGAATCAAACAGAAAACCAGGGAAATGAAACCAGCAACTTACAGCCACCTAATCTTCGATAAACTTAATAAGAACATCCACTGGGGGAAAGACTCCCTGGTCAATAAATGGTGTTGGGAGAATTGGATATCCACAGGTAAAAGACTGAAACTGGACCCACACCTTTCTCCACTCACTAAAATTGATTCAAGATAGATAATGGACTTAAATTTAAGGCATGAAATGATAAAAATCATCAAAGAATAGGAAAAACACTGGAAGATATTGGCCTGGGGAAAGACTTTATGAAGAAGACTGCCATAGCAATAGCAACAACTGCAGCAATAAACAAATGGGATTTATTTAAATTGAAAAGCTACTGTACAGCCAAGGAGACAACAGCCAAAGCAAATAGACAAGCTACCCAATGGATATTTGCACATTCTGAATCAGACAAAAGTTTAATAACTAGGATCTATATAGAACTTCAATTTGAGCCTCTTGAATACTACAAGAAAAAAAACAACAATTCCATACATCAGTGGGGAAGAGAGATGAACAGGACTTTCTCTAAAGAAGATAGATGAATGGCTGTCAAATGCATGAAAAAATGCTCATCATCCCTAATTATTAGAGAAATGCAAATTAAAACCACCCTGAGATATCATCTAACCCCAGCAAGAATGGCCTATATCACAAAATCTTAAAACTGAAGATGCTGGCGCAAATGTGGAGAGAAAGGAACATTTTTACACTGCTGGGGGGACTGCAAACTAATAGAACCTTTTTGGAAGGAAGTATGGAGAAACCTCAAAGAACTTAATTTAGACCTCCCATTTGATCCTGCAATTTCATTACTGGGCATCTATCCAGAAGTAAAAAAAACCTTTTATTATAAAGATACTTCTACTAGGCTGTTTATTGCAGCCCAATTTACAATTGCTAAAATGTGGAAACAGCCTAAATGCCCTTCAACCTAGCAATGGATTGGCAAGCTGTGGTATATGAATACCATGGAATATTATTCAGCCATTTAAAAAAGATGGAGATTTTGTAGCATTTGCACTAACCTGGATGGAGGTGAAACACATTATCCTTAGTGAAGCATCACAGGAATGGAGAAGTATGAATCCTGTGTATTCAACTTTGATATGAGGACAGTTAATGACATGGTGGGGCATAGAGGAAGGGGTGAGCAGACAGAGAAGGAGGGAGGGGGTGAGGTTAAGGACAAGAAAAAAAAAGAAAATAGTGACTAATTCTCACATAAATTGGATTCAATTTTGACTAGAGTACATTACTTAAGCATTAATTTTTACTTCAACTTGTTAATATGTTTAGGATCCAGAATACTGCATCTTCATTTAAAAGTGAATTATGTTTGTAATTTCCCCTTAATGTATTTTTTCCAATTTTAATATCAGGTGTATCCAGATTAAGTAGAATGATTTTGAAGTATTTCTTCTTTTTCTATTGTCTATAGGATTTGGCATGATCTGTTTTTTGAAATTATCTTTTATTTTTATTTATAAATATTAGTTGTCTATTTTTTGAGACTTTGGGAAAAAATAAGTTAATTGATGACTCTACACTGAACCTCAGAGTTAAAGCATGCTATAATAGTCATACTCTTATTTGACAATGTGAATGTTACTTTCTTTGCATTACTATTATTATTATTGCATAATACTTCACTGTAGCAATCATCTGATTTCTTTTCTGAATGTATTTATCTTCACTCATTCTTTTTTTTTTTTT